ACCGGGGAGGGCGGGGGGAGGGCTCCCGCGCTACGGGCGCGCTCCTCTCCATGTCCATTATTTACAGGGTCTACCCCTTGAACAATGCAGCGCAGCGGCCGCTGGCGGGGCCGAGCGGCTGAACGGGGGCGCCGGAGCGGGCACAGACCGGGAGGCAAGACCCGAAAGTCGGGGTGGGGGCAACGCCGAGACTTGGGCGGTGGGAGGAGGTGTACCTGCACCGTTTCGGTCAGGCTGTCAAATTAGTGCGCCCTTAGGAAAAAACGAATGATCATACCAACACCTGACATGAATTGTAAAATAGACAGATCAAATTGGTGAAGGTTATTTTTGCGTTAAGCTAAATTTACTTCAGCGTGCAAGTGCCTCAGACTATTTTCATAGTGGAGCGTAGCCTGTGCATTACGGAGCTGTGCGGTTATTTTTTCCTTTGGAAGAAAGGAGAGAGAGAGACAACAGATCAATATATGCTTGTACACATGAACATGGCTAGTGAGCAGAAAGTACTTGTGTGCATTAGAAAAGGACTGGTGTCACTACTGACCGTAAATGGGAGAGCAAGTTGCTGCTGGATTTTCATTTATGTGATCTATCTGGTCTCTGCAAGCGAGTTACTGTACACCATTAACTCCTTAGATCTTCCACCCTTTAGCTCCTTTTCGCTCATAGGACACCAAAAAGGTCTCCTACCGACTGGTGGCTCTGGATCCCTTTTGCAGAGCTTCCCTCTGTCCCCCTCTGAGGGATCCCCAGGACCCCAGCAGCATCCCCAGCCGGCACTTCATCCTCCCGTCTGACCTGCATATTCCTTGCTGAAATGTGAACCTGATGCTCCCAGCCCAGGAAAGTCCCCTCTTTCTCTTCCTGTATTGCAGTGCCCTTTTATATCTGATGGCTGTTATCGTGTCCCCACACCATGTTTTCTTTATGACAACCAGCTGCAATTTGTCCGCCTCTCCTCCTGTCTCCTCGGCCACCCACTGATTGCCCCAGCTCTCCTCTGGTTTCCCCTCAGCTGCTGCCTGCAGCACGCACTGAGCGGTGCCCCAGCCTCCATGCGTGCAGGGCGTTAGCCCCGCCTGCAGAAACAGCTCCTCTTCCTGCTTTTCAGTCACATTCTGTGTTTTCCAAGCAAATTTTTAGGATTATTTTAAATTATTATTTCATCCACCAATGTACTTGCAGTCTGTCCCTGATCAATGCCATCTCTGAAGGCCACTAATGAAATGTCCCAGGACAGACGCCTCTGGAGTTGCATCTATAATCCACCCGTTTGCCAGTAAACCACCGACAACTGCCATTTCCACAGTTTTTTACCTACCGACCAAATTTTTTCACATAAACTGACCTCCTTCATTTATGTGCGGAGCCTAACCAAGGCACAGATGATTACGGTCCTTGCTCCTTTCTTCCATAACAAGGTCTGCTCCTCTATCACCAAAGGAAATCTGGCCAGCTTGTCCCAATTTCTTGTTGACAAGTCCATGTTAATAGTTGCTTATCTCATTGTTTCCTTCTATCTGTTTACAAATAATACGTCTGTTCATACTAGGTACTTTCCGGGGAAAAAAATGTCTAGTTGGTCTATTTATTTATTGTTTGGTTTTTTAATTCCCTTGTTAAAGATAGGCACCAGTTTTGCCTTTATCTATCAGCATGGTCCTTGGCCATCTTCCCCAAGTCCTCAGAGATAAATGCTAGTGTTTCAAATGCTGTTTGAGCCATTTCCTTCAGCACCCTTGTGTGAAGTCCAGCCAGCCTGTTGGTTTGAATACCTCTAAGTTATTTAAGTACTCTTGTGACTGGTTCTGTCCCATTCTGGGCTGAAACCTTATTCCCTGGTCATTAATATGTATTATGTCAATATCACAAGTGACCTCTTTCAACCGAGACTGGTGCAAAAAAGGCCTACTCTGAGCCTTCTCAGCATCAGTCAATAGCTTTCTCTCTCTGATGAGTAATCCACTTTCTTTTGACTTCCTCTTACCACTGATGTACTTACTGAACGATTTCTTGTTACTTGCGATCTCTTGCCAGTTAAGTTTTATTTGTTGTATTGGCTTTTTTGTGTTTGTCCCCATCTGCTCTTGCTAGGCAGCACTTCTGCACTTATCCCGTGGAAACCTGACCTACTTTCTCTGTGTTTCCTTTTTGTGAGCTCACGATTTAGCCTGTTTGGTTGCTTCCTACCCTTCCTAGATTTCTTCTGTGATGGCATTGTTTGGGACATGTCTTCTAGAAACTCCCAGCTACCACTCGCTGTCTTTTCCCACTAAGGTTCCCCTTGGCATGGCCTGGAGTTGGCAGGGAGAAATGGAGAGGGGAAGAGGACTTTGGGAACTGAGGTCTTGAGCTGAAGTTTTGAGGAAAGAGAAATTTGACTGAAGAAAGCAAAGAATTGAAAATTTGGAAGAGATGGGAGAGAAAAAAAGAGCCCTTAGAGAAGGAAATAGGCGTATTGTGAATGAGTAGATCTTGTGGAAACAGAATAAAGTCATACAGTTCAATGAAAAGCCCATAATGAGAGGTGTCAACCCTTACTCAAGCTGACCAAATATTTTTCATCCCAAACACCTCTTCTGGGCTTCTCCTACATCCTGAGATTTTGTTTGGAACTGAAAAATTTCAAAGATAGCATATTACAGAGAGTTATGTATTTTTACATAGAAGTTCTCCTGCTCTTGAAACAGCAATCCTTGAGAGACTGTTTCTGAGTACAGGAAGGTTGAGGACAAAAAAAGGAAAGAAAACACATTTCCAGGAGTTAAATAAATTTTTAATGAAATAAGTACTAGTAAGGAAAAACTTCATGGAAAAAATGTCTTTGAAATAGCAGAAATGCCTTTGCATATTCTTGTGAAAGTTGATTTTGGTTTGAATGAGGAAATGTGAAAGCTTTGAAAGGAATATTCCTGCTACATGGTGGAGCCTACACATGAGTGAATGCTGAATTTAAGATTACAGAGGCAAGCCTCTCTCTCCTGTGCAAGGCTTCACGAGATACTGCGTTTTGTGATCAAGCATGGTTTCTCCAACAGTGCCTCTCTGACCTCAGAGAGAAGACATAGGACCTTTGGGGTGTCTCTTTGCTAGAGCACAAAAAGATACCATTTAAAAGATAAGTTTCATTCAAAAGGAGAATGAACCAATGTCTTTTGTCTTATTTTTTTCTACATTCACTGAGTAACATTAAAGAAATTGCCTACCGTTATAACCTGGGTCCTCTACAGTTTGGGGAAGAGGAGCAGAAAAGATGTCTTGGTGTCCTCTGACAGGAGCAGTTTGGTGCCTGATGTAACTCGGAGTGAGTGTCCTCAGAAATGGGACAATACAACAGTGGTGGAAACAGCGAACTTCGCCCTGTTGCAGAGCAAGCATCCCGCTGCAGAACAAGCACCCTGTCTGTCAGCACCCTGCCACAGCTCTGAGGATTTGAAGCCAGGACCCAGAGAAATATCACCATGTTTACAGAAAGGAGGGAAAAAAAAATAAAATCAAGCTTCCTTAGCATTAGTGTTAATGTTTCCAGATTCTTGGAAGGCCAGCCACAGTACTCTGAAGAGCTCTTGGCATAAATTCCTGGTTTATGTGGAATTTGTAACAACCCCATTCTACATAATGACAACCCTAGCTATATTTTATTGTTTTATGGGATATATGCTTGGTTGCCTTTTTTGTCTAAAGGAGTCCTGCACTGTAGCCATGAAATCATGACAATGCAATAAACCAAAGCTTCAGTACAAATACTGATTAATAAAATCACCTATTGGAACACAGACTATTTAGATAATGGAGAAAAGCACCATATCGTCATAGGATCCCACGATAAATCAAGTTGGAAGGGATCAGAAGGTCTCTGGTCCCACCTCCTCTTGAAGCAAGATCAGATATGGGGTCAGATCAGGATGTGCAGGACTTTATCCAGATGATTTTCCCTTTACCCAGGGATTTTTCAACTCAGGAGGGCCAGGTGAGTACTGTGAGAACTGGTTGTGAGGAAAGAGAAAGAGAAAGAAAGAGGAATGAGTTAAAAATGTTAAAAGGGGCTAAGCCACTTGGGAAACAGGCAAAAAAGACTGTACTTATTTCAATGTGCTCTCCTCTGATCCTGATTGAACCACAGACACCTGACTTTTACCATTCTTACAATGTCAGCAAAGATTAGTGAAACTCACTGGGAAAATGTTCTGTCCCTCCCTGATGCTGATTCAAATAGAAGATGACAACCTATTACTTGTGTCATTTACTCTGCTGACAGAAGACTGTACCCCATACAGGGAAGGATGAAGCAAGGAAAGGATTCCCATCCCCCACCTGCTAGGGATGTGAGCATGATGGGGAATGTGGGTGGCTTCGTTTATTATCCTAAAAACAGAGAAGATTATTTGCACACTAATTATTGGAAAAGATCACAGATGTTGCAAAATCAAGCAATCTGATGTTGGTAAATGCTGTAACTAAGATTGCTCGGGCAATGTTATGTGTGGCCCAAATCTTCTGTACATGAATTCTGATGCAACCTTTAATTAACAATGCATTATGAAGCAACCTATAATGACATGATTACGTATGATTTTTCTTGCAGATCTCATGTCTTATTCAATAAATTAAAAAAAAAAAATAAAAAGAGAGAGAGAGAGAAAAAAAAAAGAAAGATGACAACTTAAGAAGCTCTGGCTCTCAGCAAGATTTAGGCACTTAAAATACCTTTTAGAATCTGGGTCTCAATGAGGAGCAATTTAATATTTTGTTTTCTCCTTCTTCAGTATGGAGCCCCATGACTTATTTAATGCACTATGTTCAACCCCTGCTCTCAAGAACTAATGATTAATGTCCTCATGAGATTTTTTATAATTCTCCCCTGTGAAGTATCTGAGAGTTTTACAAATATTAATGCATTTATTTTCAGAGTGTCTCCATAAGGGGAAGGTTTATTACCTTCTT